GCGTCAACCACCTCTGTCCTTGACAAGCCCTAAGGAAAGGAACATTTACCAGACCCTGTGAGAATGATCTGAAAAATATCTGGAAATAACATTTTATGAGAGAGTGTGCTCTGGCTGGAAGATATCAGAAGGTTGGTGTCTTGCCTTAGAAGTTCTGTTTCCTCCCTATACAATCGCTGTCATCACAGCACCCCCCACCTCCCTGTGCTTATTTTAGGAGATGCTTTCTCTGTGCTCTCACGTCAGCCTCAGTGGGGAAGCTTCCAAAAGGGGCAGGAAGGAGCTGCAGTCTATTTGTGGCTGCCACAGCACCTCCTGCACCACGCACTGCTCCGTGCTGCCCGCAGAGCTGCTGAGCACGGCACCCACTGCACTGAGCAGTGCCCACACACAGCAGATATCGCTGAGTTTGGGCCCAGGTGCCTCTGGAAGTTTCTCCACATCAATCACAACGATGCAGGTCCCTCCTTTATGTTCATACTTTAAATTCCCGTGTATTCCAGCCGTGTAACACAGAAGGAACACCTACCGTGACAACCTCACAGGGTTGGGCAGCATGATGCTCCCTCCCCTTTTGCCTGCTTCCTGGCTGTCTGTGCTTGCAAGCTCTTAGGAGACCTCTGTGGTTGTTTTGAGGAGTACCCTTCCTGCATTCGTCCATACGTGGTCATCTAAGGACGAGCCAGGCAGGTCTCCTCTTGCCAGCTCGCCAAGGAGAATGGTTGTCCTTAATTAATCAGATAATATCAACGGCCAAGCTGCTCTCGTTAGTATAAGCAGCTCTCGATCAAAGGGTTGTACGTCCATGATGATTAGACACAGCCAGTGGCCCCATCCTTCCAAGGGAAGGTCGTGGTTTCCACCACATGCATCTCCCCCCTTCCAAAGGCTCAGACACCCCCCGGGATCCATCTGGGGCAGCCGTTGCTCTGGCTGTGTCTGTAGCACATCCAGCCCCGTGGCTCTCACTTCCCTTTCCCCTCCCCACGGCCCAGCCGTGGCCCCACATCGCAGCACAGCAGGGCTGGCACGCGCTGCTCCAGCAGCACAGCACTGCGTGTGCAGGCAGCTGTGTGCCCAGGGCCCTGAGCTGACACCGCACGCTTGGCTCTAATAGTAAAATCAGGGGACTATTAAAGTAGATTATGCACTAATAATTATGCAAATATTCCTTCAGTGAAACTATAAAAATCTCATGAAGATTTAGCACCTGGCTATTATATGGAGAGAAATATGTGGAAATGAAAATGAAGATCATTAACTTTAAGGAGTTAGGGGAATTTTTTTCTGCTATCATTTAAACACATGGCTTGGGATGCCTTTGAAGGTTTAACTTGGAGGAGATTATCAGTTATAACACTGCTGAAACGCAGCTGCAGGCTGACAATGGGCTCTGCTTAGAGGAGGGAGGGCAGCAGAGAAGAGCCCACCCAGCACATCCCCTCGGAGAGAGAAACAGCACCACAGAACTTACAGAGAGCTGAACGTGGGCATCCCAGAGCAGTGCAGGAGCAGCTCCCAGGCAGCAGCGAGGACAGAGCAGCAGAACTCAGCCGCTCAGCAGCCCTGATCCCCACAGAAGAACCCAGAGCTACACCACGTACTGGGAGATGTGAGGGAATTTGATAGGAGCCACCAGAAGGAGCAAATCAATTACCTGATTGCCGCTGGGTTCAGCACCCAGGTCCTGCCATAACAAAGCACTCCATTAACTTTAAAAGCACGGGAACCTCTGAAAGACTGGGTACCAGCTGGTGGGCGAAGCTCGGAGGGGGACGGCTGTCCTGATGGAAGAAATCAAAGCAAAACCTTTATTTTGTTACGATTAAGCACCAGCGTGGGTGCGCTGGGGGCAGGGGCATGCAGTGCTGCTCGGTTTTGGGCCCCAGCACGGTACAGCGGCAGCTCCCCGTGGTGCCTGCAGGGGTCTGCGGAGCTCCGAGCACAAAGCGCCGGCTGGACTCCCTGCACGAGGCCTCTGTGCTCACCTGCTGGGGGGGGGCAGTGGGAGGGAGCAGCGCTGCTTCCTTGCTAAACTGGGGGGGCATTGGGGCTGTGATTGGCAGAGCCCACACAGCAGTGCTTGGGAGCTGCAGTCTGACACGGTGCTGGGTGCAGAGAGCTTGCCTGCTGCTGATGGAGGGGAAATAACGCTGTTTATGAGTTTACTCACTCATTAATAAACAGAAAATGCACAGGCAGTTCCCGAGGCAGAAACAGAGACCAGAAGTAATGCCCCACTTGCTCACTGAGCTGTGCTCCTTCCTGAATATTCAAGCTTCCTGGCCTGCTGAGCCTCAGTGCTGCGCAGAGCTCTGGGCAGTGGTGACCGCCCCGCGCCTGCAGTGCCTGGGGCTGCCTGACCCCGAGTACTGGGCTGGGAGATGCCCATCCCAGCTGCACTGGTGGGTGCTGAGCTGCAAGCAGTGCCTGAGGGGGTTGCATAGAATCATAGAGCTGCTGGCATTGGAAGGGGTGCTTCATGTGCTTGGATTGCATTTGAAGGACTTCAGTGTTAAGAGTCACGGAATCATTAAAATTGAAAAAGACCTCTAAGATCATCAATCCCAACAGCCAGCCCCTTCCTACCACGTCTCCAATGGAACCATTGCTCCCAAGCTTCTCTTTGGGCCGCGGCTGCTTTTTGCACAGTGGTGTCGCTTTGTGGAGCTTTCTCAGTGTGCTACGAACCCGCTGACCTCTGCTTCCCACCACCCAGCAGCTGAGCTGCCTCTGCCTCCCACCCCACGGCTGCTGCCAGCACAGCTTTCCCTATGGGCTAGGGGAGGACTGCGGATTGCAGCCAGGCTCTCCCTCCCCTCGTTTGAGGGCACACACTGCACACCATGGGGATTCTCTCCCTGTGTCCAGGCCTGGGCTGGGTCACACACAGCACCCAACGCCTCTTTGTCTTTGGTTGGTTTTTATTTACCAATAAACGATACTACAAAACATGGGAAACATCTCCTTGAAATACAGACTGCAGTCACACTGCCAGCCTTTAACCTGCTGTATTTACAGATCTCCCCGCCCCCTCAGAGGAGCTTCAGCCTCTTCTTCTTCCTCCTCCTCCTCCTCTGGGCGCTGCTGTGCTCACTGCTCTGTGTTGGGGCACAGCAGTAACTCAGCCCCACTGCTCCGACCATGGGGGTCAGTGCCACCACCAGGCAGAACAGCCGTGGGTCCATCAGCATAGGAAAGAGATACACGTGCATGTGCAGATACGTCTGTATATAAGTGCTTTTAATTACATAGTTGTAAGGCAGATTAAAATTATTTTCTGACACCAGCTGGTATCAAAGGACACCACTCCTACCTCCCATGCACTTTGTGCAGTGTGTATGGGAGGTAATTAAGTCTGCAGTAATTATCATCCAGGTACTGCAATCTGAACAGCCTCTGCTCCTTCACTTCCATCCCGTGTGAGGCTCTTGCTCTGTACCCCAGGCAGTGCAGCCCCCAGCACTGTGGGGCTCTGTGCTGCTGCCCCTTGGCACATGCGGGCATCAGGGTAGGTGGGAGGCGATCGGAAGCCCCAAACCCTTCTGTGTGCTGGGAGGGAGAGGGCAGAACTGCCTCTGAGTAGGGCTTCTCATTACCTCTGGATTGTCCTCATCCCAGCTGCCAGTGAAGGGCAAGCTTTTTATTTCTTTGCACATGAAAAGAAATGAAGACAATAATGTATTCCAGAACAGTTCCTCTTCTCCCAAGAATTATTACCAGGGAGCTGGAGCCCTGCTAATTGGCTTTGTTCTGCAGCACCGAGTGGCTCCTCATGCACACAGCCCCGCAGCCCCAGACCCTGTGGCACAGCCAATGAACTTCACAGCAGCACCGGGTTCTGGACAGACCGCCCCAGAGATGAGCCCACAGTGCTCCTCAGTGCTGCTCCAGGCAGCAGTGCAGGCAGTGCAGCAGTACAACAATACAAGAGGTGCAGTAGCACGAGGTGCAGCAGTGTAGGAGTGCAGCGGTGCAGGAGGTGCAACAGTGCAGGAGTATGGGAAGTGCAGCAGTGCAGGATGTAGGAAATGCAGCAGTGTGGGAGGTGCAGGTGCAGGAGGTGCCATCAGACTGGGCTCTGCTGAGGAACAGGCAAGTACAAAAGACTAACAGTAATTTAAAAACCCTTTTCCTGGAACAAGCAGCACACAGGTGCTCAGCTGCTGCTCTTCAAGCTCTTCTGTCCCAGCGTTGCTAACCCTATTGGAGTCAGGCTGGTGCAGAGCAGTGACTCCGAGAACCTGTGCAGGGAGGGCATGAACAGAAACCCACTTCCAGCGGCTGCCACCCGGAGGGCCCTGCAGGGGGGTACAGCAGAGGGCTGCTCCCAGCTCCAGCAGCTGCCCGGACCCGTGAATGTGACAGAGCCTTCCCCTCACAGGGTGCCTCGCAGGACACAGGAGAGCTGCGTCGTGGTGCTCTTTGGAATGCTCCATCAGGTGAACCCGATGCAGTACGAGCTGCTCCAGATGAGCTGCAGCTGTGGCGGTGCTCCCATCTCTTAAGGTGCAGGGAGGAGGGCAGCAGCTCACCGTTGCTCTGTGTCGCCTTCAGTTTCTTGTGGGTACAAATGGGGCAAAACAAAAAATGTTGGGGGAGAGCGATCCCCATTCTGCAGAGACCTGGTAAGCACGGAGCAATGTGGAATCACAGCAGGCGAGGAGGCATGGGGGCACCCGTTGTGCATTTCTGTGTGTGTATGTGGTGGTGAAGGGCACCAACTCACTGAGCCCTGCCTGCACACTCACAGTACGTGTGCACAGAGCGGCGCTGAGCAGCTGCAGTCTCAGCCCTGACACAAAGCGCCGAGAGCTGCGCTCCCACCAGCACACAGCTGACACCCCCCGTGCAGGACCATTCCTGCACCATCACGCTGTGCTTATCGGGCTCCTAAGGCAGAGCTCAGCTCTCTGCCACAGCACCACCCCCTCCCTGACCCCCAGCACCTCCCCAGAGGGACGCAGCCCCCGGCAGCCCCCAGGCTGCTCTCGGGCACTGCTATTGCCCCCCAATTCCATGCTCTCTCCTTATCTGTCCCAGGGAAATACAGCAGGCTAAAAGCTACTTTGTTGTTGCTGTTGTTTTTTTTTTTAACATACCACAGTAGAAACAGTAACTGAGTTATATTTGTCAGAGTCACAGCAGTGTATGCGTATTTGCTATTCACAGACCGCAGAATATTGCCAATAACCTCACTGGTGGGACTGACAACACGGAGATACATGCATTCGTGTGAGACCACAACCGATGACGTCTATACTGCATTAAGCACATTCACTGTTAAACACCTTCCAGTCACATCGGTTCCTTTACATTTGTCGTTAAAACTTTAGTTTTTTTTCTTCCACGATTAAGCACAAAGTAACCTGTAAACAAGTTGACATTACACTTATATACAAGTGAACCACGTCGGAGAGTAGAAGAGGTAATTCGGTGGGTGCCGCTTAACCTACGTCGATGTGCAATAGATGGACCCCGCCGCAGCGGAGTCACTGCGCGCCCTGGGAGGCCTGGGCTGGGAGGGGAGCGGGGCCGGGAGGCACAGCCTGCAGCCCCACCGCCCCACCACGGCCCCCAGAGCCGCATCCCGCGCTTGGTCATTGCTATAGATTGAAATCTGCAATAGCGTCCTTACAAACTGATTTGTAGCTAAGTGATATCGATGCCAAGAAAAATAAAGAATGTCTTTTCGTAATATAAATAATTTAAAAGTGCTTTTTTTGTTGTTGTTGTTGTTGTTGTTGTTGTCATCGTTGTTCTTTTACTATTAATCTACAAAACCCCTCAGGGGCATAATCTATCCATAGGACTGGACAAGTAGTTCGTACCATGGTACACATGGGGCTGACACGTCAGGGACTCAGAACACCGCATGCAGCAGTGCTGTGGGGCAGGGGGGGGGAGGGGCTCCCTCCTGGGCCTGGGGTCACTTGGGGGGTGCGGGGGGGGTCCCAGCTACCACAGTGTCTGCTGACACCGGGCAGCCCAGCACTGCCCTCTGCACACAGCTTTGAGAAGAAAGGAACAAACCGACTCCCAGGCTGGAACTAAAACCCCACAGACTGTCCACCGGAGCGCGGTAAAGCATCTTTGTGGTGCATATGGGAGAAAAATAGAGGGGAAAAGAATAGGGGGGAAAAAATTATTTGGTCCACATAGGTCCGTGCTCACCCTCACCAACAGCCTCCTGCAGCTGCACCATGGGTATGATGCTCTGTTCACACAGCCCTTATGATCCGCCTGGCAAAACAAAAGCTCCCCAATTTGGGAACAACAGAGCCCTGCAAGCACAGGGGAGCCCCTCACTGAAACCGCCTTAGGATCAGCAGAGATAATCTGTGCACACTGACATCATTTCCCACAGCGGACTCAAACTCAGGAGCTCTGGAGCCTGGATGATGCTACACAGGTCTGAGACAAGCTGCCCATTCCAGCCAGCCCCATATCTGTATGTTTCACTCTTTCTGTGCTGTCTGACAGTGAATAATTTCTCTGAGCACCTCAGTGCTCGTTCCTCCCCCTGCAGCGGTGCCACTCCGCACCCACAACAGCCCCTAGGACACTCCATGCAGTTCATTTCCAGTTCTCTGGAATGCACACAGCTGCTGACCCAGAGACCCATTCCCTTCCAGTCAGAGCATTAAGCACGTCTCATCAGGCCGGTCATCTCCAGCATTTGCTTCCATACCAGATGGGAGCCTGCTGTGCCTGCCCCGCCACCAGCATGGGCTGAGCCCATGGCCCCCACACAGCCTGGGGGCACAGCAGGGGTGAGGGACAATGGAGTGGCAGCACCAGAACCACATGGAACACAGCAACAGAGAGCCCTGTCCCTGTCTGCTGGGAAATGCATTCATGGAGCCTCAGAAAGGGGAAGGTAGAAAGAGACAGAGCCAGGGGGTTCTGCTGCAGCCCTCAGAGACTGCAAAGAGCCGACCATCCACTGCAGCTGACAGTGCTCTTTCCTGAGAAACTGCAGTGATCAGGAGGGAGCCAATCTGCCAGCAATGTATTCTGATATATATACACATATATATACACGGAGATGTATATACACACATATATATATATATGCACACCCACACCCAGGCGCTGAAGGCAATGCTGTCCTGGCACAGTGCTCCCAAAAGCCCTGCTGCCCCCAGGCACGGAGCTGCACACCCCCAGAGAGCAAAGCAGCGTGCACTGCCGTCCCTGCGTGCCCTTAAGGTACTCTGCTTGTGTAAGACTCAGAGTTGACAAAGAAAAACATTTGTCATTGTGCTTCCACAACTGGAAAAATATCATTACCCTACGACTATAAATGATTAAGGTGAGATAGGCAAATTAGGCAGTTCTATAGAGATGGATTGGTTTTTTTGTGACCTAACACGTAATTACTATCGGGAATTATTTCCATATCACTGCGGATCCCACTGTAACGGCAATGGGAATCGTCCCACCTATAGGTGGTACTTCCGCAGCAGTTCCGACTGCCAGGGATGCTTTCTTTCTGGAAACCTGTCTGGGATTTTGATCTTGAGGAAATCCTGGATGCACTTCTCCAGCTCCTCCTCGATGGAGAGCTTCTCCTTCACTGCCTTCTTCTTGCCGGCGGTGGACTCGCGGGAGCCCGAGGTGAGCGTCCGCAGCAGGTCGCTCTTGCGCCGGCTCTCGGAGTGCTGCAGCAGCAGCACGGGGCCCTTCTTGGCAGGGCGGTCCAGTGTCTGGATGTTGGGCTGTCGCGTGACGGGGCCGCAGATGACTGTTTCCTGCGGGGAGCTGCCCTCCGACTGGCTGTCACAGCTGGACGTCGACAGCTCGTTGCAGGACGTGCCGCTCTCACCCTCCTTCTCGCCTTTGCCGTTCTTGCAGCAGCAGTCGCAGTGAGACGAGGCCCAGCGGGACGGCTCACCTGGAGGGAGAGAGCGTGGTTAGAGCCTGCAGCAGCTCCCTGAGCCCACGGTTCCCCTGGAGCGGAGCCCTCGGAGCCATCAGTGCCACAGTTCCCATGGCCACCCACTGATGGCGCTGCCCCGTGCCCTGGGCACATTTGGGATGCTCAGCAGAAACGGATTTGCTGACGGTGCAGGGAGGTGGTCAAGCAGCTCCATGAAAACTGAATTTTCCCGGGGCTGATGGCTGCAGTGACAGAGGCCCTGTGCACAGTCCTGCTCACTGCACTCCTTGCATGCACTGCCTGGAGCCACATGTGTGTCCAGTGGCACAGAGCACTAGCACAGTGCGGTGGTCTGATGGGAACAAAGCATGCAGGGAATGCCACTGCCTGCCCAGGGCACTGCTCACTGTCACTGCAGCCTGTGCTCACTGCAGCTTCGTGCTTTCATTGGATCCAACAGAACTACTTGTTATTTCTGAAAGTAACAAATCAAAGCCATAATGCTAAATTGGAGGCTGCATCACTGACATCCACCCTGCAGAAGAAAGGATAAACAGGGACCTCTCCAAAGGCCTCAACTCGGCATCACAGAATCACAGAACCATAAAGACTGGAAAAAATTTCCAATATCACCAAGCCCAACCCCAACACATCCCTGTCACACCCTCTGAATCATGTCCCTAAATAGAATCCCAGAATCATCAAATTGGAGGTCTGGGAAGCAAAGCGCGGCTCTGGGGCACTCTGCCCTCAGGCCATTCCTTTTGCAGCCCAAGCACAATGCACATCATGGGTATAAATGGGGAAAGAAACAAACAGCTGAAAGCCTCCTCCTGTCTGCTTCTTGCTCAACAGTGGAGGAGTCTCCCAGTCTGTGTCCCTGTGCCTGAACTGAATTCAAGGCTTGCTTCAAGACCTGCTCTTTGTCTTGTCTGATGAAAGTCAATAATGGCCAAACTGAAATTTCTCATCATTTGCTTGGCAGTGACAGAGGCATAGAACCTTCCACCATGCAGCCCCTGCGCCCACGTCTCATCCCACACAGGGCAGCCCTGCCACCCCCAGTGCTCCCGAGCAGAGGCACACGCCAGATGCCCCATGCACAGGGCAGTGCAGGGCAGTGCTGGCCCCCCTGCAGCCCCCGTCCTCGCAGAGATGTGCACACTGCATCGGTGTGACCGCGCACCTCGGTAATTACCGTCTGCCTGCTCAGTGATGCTGGGATAAAAGGGGCTCATTAATCCCAGCCCGGCTCTGCTGCCTTTCTCCCTGATCTTAGAACATTTCTCTCCTACTGCCTTAAGTATAATTACTATTAGAAGGTTCTGAAGCAGCAGCAAAGCCTCTGATGTGTAAGTGACACACAAGTATCTGTCGCATGCTTCTCCTCTCCCTCTTAGAGCAAATGCACTGTGAGCTGGGAATGGGAAACCTGAGCTGCTGCATGCAGCAACCCCATGGACAGAGAGCACTCATGGTCCGAGATGTGCACGGGGCCTTCAGACTGAAAGCAGTGAAAATGTGTGGGTTTCCTGCTGATTTTTGTTCTTAGAAATGGTGCACAGACACCAATTCCAGCACCGCGCAGCCCATGGCAGACACAGAGCTGGAATTCTGCAACCTGAGCGTGGGGCACGTGGCCCCATGGTGCTCCTCCTGCTCCTGTCCCCCAGCACAGCCATACTGCTCTGGGAGTGCTGCCATGCTCCAACGCCACCCCGCAGCGTGGCTGCAGCACAGGGGGCATCTGCTGCCCACCCGTGTGGGCTCCGAGAAGCACGATTTGTGCCAGCTCACCAAAACATCAATTATTCAGGTGCGAGTGCCACCAGTCCCCAAGGGACCCCACAGCAGTGTGGTGTGAACACACTGACAGTGCCAGGGCCACATCTCCACGTGGCCCAGCAAGAGCAGGAGCCCCTGAGCCAGCCTTGAGCCCACGGTTCCCGGTGAGCAGGGCTGACAGGATGGGCTCTCCATGGGTGAGTCCTTGCCACTGGCACTGCCTCCTGGAGCTGCAGTATTCCAAAAGCAGACGGTGACTTTGATGACATTTGCACTGGGAAAGCACTCAGCTCTTCACCACCTCCCTTCTTTTTGACGTCTATCTTATAATACTAGTTTTAATACCACACTACACACAGTCAATTTTCTTTTTAGCTTCAGATCTATAAAACTCATAATGTTGTGATATTTTGGAAGGAAGCTGCCACAGATTACTAAGATCACCAAGGCCAGACTCCAGCCTACCCCCACCATGACACCAAGCCACTCAATAGAACTTCAGCCCAGTGCCTCACATCTCACTCCTTCCCCTCCCAGCTCCAGGGCTGAGGCACTGGAAACTATCACACATTATTTGGCAGGTAAATAAAGCCTGGATGGCCCAGGCCTTCAGACAGGCGATGGTGGCCCAGTGACAATTTGATGTAAATCACTCATCCTCACACACACAGTGCCTCAAATGGGTTCTGCATCCGTGCATGAATTAAAGGTGTTGTGATTGATGAGAGACTGAGGTCTAATCGGTGTTTTAATAAATACGTTCTGAGTTGGTAAGCTAGCCAGATCAGCGGAAAATAACTGTCCAAATAAAATCACCAAGGTAAAGCTCAGGAACAACGACAAATGCTATGCAGTGATTGGCTCTGGTACCAGCACTGGCAGCAGGATGGATGCAGGATGGATTCATGTGCATTTTGGACCAAGGACCCTTCAAACAGACCAGGGGAGGCCCCAGCAGTGACAGCACTGCTCTGAATGTGCTCATCTGCGCTCTGGCCGGCACAGTCCGAGCTCCCCCACATCCTGCTCACTGCCAAACTCACCGCTGGGCTTTGAGCTGCTCTCCACATAGATGCCTGGCTCCTTCCCAATCCATTTTAATGCTTTTGAAGTTCTGTCTGTAATGTGCTTTTACCATATACGTTTTCTGATGTGGTGTAAAAGCAGCAACTTTTGCTGAGGTCCCTGTGTGGGGCCTAACCATGTGCAGGATGACACAACCCCAGCCTGTGCATGCACATCAGCCTCCCAGCATGCTGCCATTTATCAGTGCTCCCATGGTTGTGGAAGCACAGTACCGTTCAGGTTGGAACAGACCCCTCAGACCACCAGCCCAGCCCACCTCACCATGCCCTCCAGCCACGTCCCCCTGTGCACATCTCCATGTTATGGACGCTTCAGCATGGTGACTTCCCATTCCCTGTACAGCTGTGCCACTGCTGATCACTCTTTTGGAGAAAACATTGCCCCTAACATCCAGCCCAAACCTCCTGTTCCCTATAACACTGTGCTTGAAATGCAGTCCCTTTCCTTTCCAAATACTGCAAGTGGAAACAATATCTGGCCAGTAGGACTGCGGCATTAATCTTCCTCCAAGAGAATTACAGTGAAAAGAAAAAATGGTGCAGAAGTTTTCTTCCACCAATAGCATTTACTCTTCCTGCCCTCTCTCAAACATTTCCACCTTGTTTAAGTTGGGTGCGCCAGGAATCAGCAGCTGCCGTTACAACATCTTCCCTTACATCCAGCCCTGCCTCCACCCGTGTAAGACTGCTCTGTATCTTTATTACTATGGTTTTAATATTTTATCTTAATACAATCCTGTTGCTTAAAATTTACACTCGAGTTCTGGAGAGTGAAGTTGGAATAAAGGAGCAGGGGCTGCCATGCCCCAGGGTACGGAGGCGGAGCATCCAGCAGGATGCAGACCCCCAGGTCAGAGCCCAGCGATGCAGTGCAGGTGGAAGGTGGATGGAATCCTCAGACATTCAGCGCCGACGTGCTCCTGCTATCTATTGAGAAAGGAGTTAAAATCCTCCATTAATTAAAGCAGAGGTAAAACCATCCAGGCTAACCAATCAGAAGCAACATCCCTCTCAGTGCCCTAATTTTAGAATTACCCACACAGGCATTGCTCCAGACTCCCTGAGTGCATAATGCAAACATTCAGAGGCGGCTCAGTGCCACAAGGCACCACGGCCCCACTGCAGGCACTGCCTGCCCTGAGCTGCTGCAAAACACCAAGAGATGCACACGTATAAATACATGCATTTGCACACATGCAGGTGGAAACTCACTCCCATGTTTTCCTTTGTTTTGCCCTTCACCATTTACATTTGATCTTGAGCCCCTTCTAGAACCTGTTTAATTAGCAAAGACAAAGCACACGGGCGTCCTGCTTCTGGAAGGCTTATGCTGCAAATTGCCAACAGATGGTTATGATAACATGGGAGCCACAGTTTCTGAATTTTTAAAAATTAGGACTCATAACAGATAAATGCTCTAGAGATATGAAGGCATCATGTCAATCTATGTTGTTCCAATTAATTGCAATCAATTGCTAATTGAGAGCTATTTTAAGACTCGTCATTACTTTGAACATAATGTGGAATGATCTGTGTGGATCCCTTCACCTCCTGCAGGTGCCATCAGAGCAGAGAGCTCTCGAGACTCATAAGCAGAGCAGCCCAGCAGTCTGCCTGCTGGCGACCCTCTGCTTCATGGGCAGAAACGGCCAAATGTGCAGCTGTGGATTCCAAACCTTCAGGGACGGGGCACCTCAGTCTCTTGTTGGATTTCTGCTTGCAAAGCTTTCCAAAGTGGCAGCTCTGATGTTACTGAACAAAAATATCTACCTCCTCTTTGGGTTTCCAGATGGCACCAACGTCTCTTTGGGCAGCTGGACCAACATCTCCAAGGACACCCAAGCAGTAATAGTGGCACGGTGCTAAAGGCAGGAGGGGAAGAGGAGCCCATTTTTTTTTATTACAGTATGGGAAAGGATTGTCCAAAGACGCATCGCAGATTCTAAAGAGAAATTAGGGATTTCTCTTTGCTTTTGCAGACAGAAAAAATACCAAAATAAGCCCACACTTGGATGATGTGTTGGCAATGGCAGCACTCATACAGGGCCCAGCAGCCACCAGGTGCCAGAAGGACACAGCAGGAATGGCATGGCTGTGAGCAATGGGTTTGCTCAGTGGTGTGCTATGAACCATGGAATCATAGGA